CGATCAGGCACGGTCCTGATAATAGTATCCAGAGGTACACAACGTGCAATAAGAAGAGTGGAGATCACCAGCAGCCTAACGGGGATCGAGCAACGCGCGATCTGCCGAGAATCTGACGCACTGCCAAGAATTTGAACTTCCCACCCTTCGCCGATCCTCCTTCATCTATTTCTATTTTTTCGCCGATGGATAAATCACAATGCATCGTTGGGGGATTTCGCAATACCCGCGACCGAGTCGTTTCTGCCCCAAGTGTCGTCGGAACGGAGCGCGCCGTTTGGCAAACATCGTCCGGATCGGACGGAAACAGTAGTTGCCGACGGTATTCCGCCGATTTCACGATCCATTACGATCTATTACGGTGTCGAAGTTCTCGCTGGTTCGGTCGTTCCGCGCGGCACGTTCGTGTGTCTCGAGACGCGACCTAGGCTTCGCCTAGATCCGTAATTAATTGTCGCGCAGGCCCACGGCGTGGTCGTAGCACGAGTAATTAATGCCCGCCGTCTTAGCAATTAATCGTCCCGTGTAGACGTCGAACGAGCCGCGCGTCCCTGCCCGAACATCTTTTCGCGGAACACAATGTGCCACTGTCAAGAGTTCGGCACAATTTTCTACGAACGATACACGACGAATATGTTTAATTAGCATACAGAACACGTCTTAGACAATTAGATCCATTACATCATTTCTACCGCGGTTTTATGCGTTTCTATTTCGACCAAAAGGTGTCTTTCCACACCTTTGCATTTGCATATTATAGCTTTGCAAATGTAAAAACACGAGAGTATTTCTCAAACGATCGTTGAACCAGTTTTATTCGACTAATGAAACAATGAGAAAAATATTCCATTTCGATTTACGCTTTTAAAGTGTGGACAAGCAAAATATTTTATTTTTAATCTGCACGAGCAGATGAAACGAAACATTGTAATCCCGGTGCAAACAACGTTAAAATAGATTCTGTTTCCATAGCGACATTCGAAACACTATTTTATTTGCTTTCACAATGCCGTACGTTAACTAAAATAATATTTCCAATATTTCTGCATCGGGTAGTATCCAGGTCAGAGTGTATTTATTTCTGAGTAAACTATTTTTAAACTAAAATGCCATTCTATATACGATATACATAAAATAGTACGTATTCTATTTCAGTCGTAATACAGCCCTGATCTTATGTCGCGAAAAAGAAATTTAATCGTTGGTAATGGGATGATCCAAGACCTTTGAATGGTAATGCATTTATCTGTAGGGAACTGAAGAGACTGTATGGATTATTACTTTTCTTATTGATGCTGAAGATTATTCCGAACTCAAATTATTAATTCCCGACTGGTAGGCACTTCCATATTTAATTTACTATCCGCGATATTCAAATAATCTATTTTTTCAGTAAAGCTCATAACGTGAGAATTTTTTTTTTTAAAGAGATCTTACTTGAATGATTTAAGCTAAACCTTTAAATAAATTTAGCAGTTGATAATAAATAAATTGGAATTATCAAGAATCTGCAATATTTTTCACAGATTTTGCTGTTTATTCACCTGTTATCTCTTTTTACTCTGGATTCGGTATTATGGCGAGGATTCATCCGACCGAAGAATGCGTTTTGACACCCTATTCCAACAATTTTTGTTTTCATATCACGCGCAGAAGTTTGTTATTCGCGTGGCGGTACGAACGGATCAATATTTTGTTAATTATTCAGAGTACGAAAAAATACGAAGGTTTTCAAATTCTTACGTTTAGATTGAAACGGAAAATTGAAAATTAAATTATCTTTGGTAGGGACTCGTTGGAGGTATAAGTTGAAAATGAACGAATTTCGGTCCGTGTTGCCGATCTATTAAATAGTTTACGATCAATAAAAAGTAGTACAACATCATCGGTTGCGAAACTGTTAAGTACCCGAGCACTTTCACGCGCAGTTTACCGAAGTCATCGACTCGCGAGGCTCGAAATCAGAAACGGAGCAATAAAAGTTCCCTCGATTTCCTTTCTTCTTTTTCTCTGGGCGCGAATATCGCTTGCACCGCGCATCCATGACCCGAGTCAACAATAAATCGGTTAGCGCGCGTGCCAAGAAGATGCTCGTGGTTCGTGATTTCATTTTATTTTCGACACGAGTTCGCTCTTTCGTACCGTGTTCCTTGTATTCCTGTTTCCCAACAGAACCACGGAGAGAACACGGATGCGAATATAAACTCCCCTAACAATCCCGTTCGAACCCTCTACAACCAGCGGTTGCCAACCTTGGGGAATACAGAAACCACTATACCGGATACTTAACCCTTATAGTTCGGTCGAATCAAACTTCGAACTAGGAATAATTCTCAACTCCAATTCTATTGCATCGTATCGTCCACGTGGCTCTGACATATGATTATATTACTCTGATGTGACAACAGCAGTGGCTGTAAATAATACAAAGTTTCGTTAAATTTTCTTTTCTGGCACTGCGTATTAACATAAACAAGTTAATTAATTGTAGCAATCGACTGGTTTGACAACCGCTGCTCTATACTCTTATCGTTCATATTTGCTTTTCGAGCAGCACGCGCGCTACTAAACTTGCGATATTATATGCGAGAACAAGAAAAAAGAACAGGACGAACGGGGATTCCCGTTTGCATCCAACCGGGGTGCTTTTATTGCGAGTATAACCAGCGCGTGCAGAACCGCTACAAAGTGGCACGAATTCCAAAAAATTCTAAAAAACCGCCACGTTAAAAACGGGATGGGTTGAAGGAGTTTCTTGGGCCACCGAATTTCATTTACAGTTCAACATTTTCATTTGGGTAAAATTAACCAAAAATGGGCGATGAGAGGGGCTATCAAAAGGGTTAACATAAAATTCAGGGCACAAATTTTTAAATACATTTTTGTTATTGCTTTTAAATCAAAACGAACTTTTTTTTTAAATTGTGAGGTGTACGAGATCGTATTAGAATTTTATTTTAGCAGGACAGAGACCGGTCGAGGAAGTGGTTAAAAAATTCTTGAATCGTAAAGGGTTAATTTTAACCCAGAATGTAGTTCTGAGTATTGTTCCGCGCGAAAGTGAACGTCTTCCGGGTGCACCGTGCCCCGTTAGCGCGTGAAAACGTGGACGGGATGCGGAATGCAACGAAACGTGGCTCGTAAACATACCACAATAAACTGTCAGAAGGCAAGAGAGTAGTAGATCGACGAACGACGCTCGAATTTGCACCGGGTACGCGAGCCAAGACGACACCGTCCACGTCCCGATGCCATCGACAGTCGCGTTTTTTATTTTCGAATCGCGCGAAAGGGTGGTATTTTCGTCGGACTTGGATTACCTTCCGAAAATAATCGGCGCTACGCGCTCGAGCGGATTCCTCGAATTCTCTAATTTTTCGAAACGACCTTCGTCGGAGTTGGGCAACATTTTATTCGAACAAAATTATTTCAGATATTCGGTCGATGGAAAAATAATAAACGTATTTCATTTACAATTCTATTTACCGAGAAACAAACAAGTTTCAGGCTTAGAAATAACGCCATCATTGGATGCAATGCTTCCAACGTGGGTCTAAATGATATATACCGTGTTTTCGTGCAACGTTGTGCAATAACGTCTCCTGATTTATATTTGCAATTTGTCTTCCTTGCTAAACGGAATTGCGTCGAATGATCGTATCCACGAGCACCGCGTATTCTTACGTAATTGTTGGACAATTGATTCAGTTAAGCTTCGACTCGTAGAGTGGCATACCTCGGCTCACAATTAACAGAATGGGTCAAGTTTACCTCGATAAAAGGTAGACAAAGACTGCACCGTAGAATAAAATTTAAATGTTCGAACTAACGTATCAACCTCCAATTTTAACCTACATCTGCGGGAGAGTAGGTTAGTTCTAGATTCCCGGTTGCTACGTGTAAAATATAAGATGTAATAATTCAACAACTCTAGAGATATAAGTAATTAAGATAATATACGTAGGAATATGTACCATGAATATCAATCTCTGACATCGAACCGAACAACATGGCTCAGATGGGATAAACCAGTTCCTGCGCTCGAGGTCACGGGTTCAATGTAATTTTTTTTAAATTGCTACCATTTACAATTGCATTAACCATATGCACGATGTCGATCGGTAATCTATCATGCATGCATACGAAAACTTAAAACTGACAACATAATGAATGTTTTCTTGCTGCAGCCACACTTTTCACTTCCTTCGAGAAAGCAACTTCATTAACGTTGTAAAATACTTTCCAAAACGTAATTCATGTCCCAACCAACTGCTGAATTATTTCAGAAGCAAGAGTTTATTAAAAAAATTTCATCGAAGTCGATGAATCCGCGTTGAAAATAAATTGTGATGTATTCTTACGCAATATTTAATAATAGAATCGGAAAAACTGCTGCCAAAGGTATTTCTCTGTTTGAAAGAGAAAAATGGTACGTTTAGGCCATGTACCAATGAACGTGTCCGCGGTGCCAAATTGTTCCTATGTTTTTAATCTACTAAGAATTTAATTTAAAAAAAAAAAAACACATCAAATGGACGAGACTCTAATGCACAGTAGTTTCCTCTATCCTGTATTTTTTAGTTAAACGCATCGATTCGAACCTTTATTATTTTTAAAAGTCTGCCTACGGTAGATTAATCTGAATTAAAAAATGTACAAGATATTCTACACCCTCTGTGAAGCAATCGAGGGTTGATTCTGGACTAACTGTCCAATTAATTTGAATCACTACAGCGTACGAATATTCGAGTATACAACAATTCGACGAGTGACCTCGATCCTGGTTAAAATCAAAGGGAGGCGAAGCCCGGTTCAGCCCATTATCAGTGGACCCCAGAGTCTCGTATCTCAAATTGCAAGAAACGTTGAGAGCATATTCGAGGCTCTTCGGTTTACAAAATTATTAACAGGTGGTTCTCGAAGGGCCACGTCGGTTAACGAACCGGGTAACCCAACGGTTAATCGATAAACACGACCGCCAAATCTATTGTACGACTTACCTTGCCCTGCATGATCAAGCGGATGGTTAGGGTGACCGACGGGTCATCGTTTAGGGTTGGTTTTGCATCCATACCGTCCATAACGAATTCACGGATTCTGTGATTGCGATGGGAGGTCTTCTTCTCGAGATTTGCGGGGGGAAAGGGTGTGGAGGAGGATAAGGAGGACAGGGGAGAGGTTAGGCGAGTGATTTTGGTTGGAGGGGTCTCGGGGGACGTGCTTCTCAAACGCTCCCAGGTATGCTCAGTCCTTGCACTGCAATCAGAATATTCGATGGATTATGAAACGATCCACGGAATGCCGACGTCAGACATGCTGTAATAGCCGCTCATTATTTCGCGTTACGCGCTACGTGGAAAACTTTTGTCGCAGGATGATACCAATCAGCGTTTCCCAACCATTTCCGGCCTACTCGCCCTTCTATAAAATATTTTTTTGACCAATCCCAATAATAAAAAAAAATGTGATTCTTTTAAAGCGCTTTAATAACTGCATTCGATCTAGTATGTCAACGCCCCCCTAAAGATTATTGTCATTGCAACGTCCCACCCCCAGGATGGCGCCTACGCCCACAACCGATAATAGAAACGAATCGAACGATTAAAGTGAACGCAGTTGGACGAGAAAACTTTTCCAGTGTCTTAAGCATCAGAAAACGGGCACTTTTTCTCCGTTTTCTGGCGGCTATACGATTTGTTGTGTTTAGTCTCGCGTATTACATATTTATGAAGATGTAACGACTTCAAAGTTTTTAAACGGCACAGTACACTTTTTATACCACCACGTCGTAGTTGATAAGAAAACGAATTTACGACCTTAACCTTCAGTATATAGAGTATATATCAACATTTAGCGACAGTAAATATTACTTATCATTGAATTTGCGTTTCTTTTTCATGGTTACATCATAATGCCACAAAAAGTGTACTCAGCCATTTTAGAAGTCAAAACCTCATATGGTAGATTCCAATAGTTCGTTGCAATTAAAAGTACAGATTTGATCAAAGTTACGTCTTCTTTTGGTCTTGTAACTCAAAATATTTTCCAAGAATGTTTTCCAAAAAATTATATTATTTTGTCTCGTATTAAAGGTTAATTAAAGAATTTTTGTTATTCAAAGTGTGTTATATTTCTGTGGAACTTTTCATCTCCGCGATATGTGTATTGATTATTTTGTATCGTTTCGCCATTAATCTTCGTCATACGCATGATTATAAAATCCATCAAGATAATGAATTTTCCACGTGATGGATGAAAGGGACTCTGTAGTATTTGAATAATTGAGACGTTAGTATTTTCCATGATCAACGACCGGAAACGGGAAACTTATTAAAATTGTCGACAAATTTCGCCAACTAAAAACAAGACATGATTAATTTCAGCCAAGAAAATTACACCGTAGTAATTAACTCGAATATAATTTATGATTAAATGCACTTTCCGATCAATAACTCGAGTCGAACATTTTGATTCGTCTTAACAGTTGTTTTGCTCGAATGATAATTCGTATGGTATATAGAATTGGTAGGTGAAAGCAATTAAAAACATACATTAACTCTAAAAACGAAACGAAACGCATCGAGTTTCGCAAAAAGAAGCGGCGTTTCGCTTTGGAGTTAAAATATGTTCCCAATTGCTTTTAATGGCCAATTTAATAATACACACGAGCAAGTGAAACACAATGCTTGACTGAAAGTATTAATTTATTTGCAGGGTCATTTAGGTAATATCTTATACATTTCTGATGCTTTAATTCAGCTTTGACATTTTTAAAAATTATTTTATCTCATGTCGTCATGAATTTTCGCTAAAAAACATTCTGTTCTAGTATTATATTCCACTGTAAACAGAAAATAAACGTCAATTTCGAGGAAACAATAATTTCTAATGCGGAAAATTCGAGACAAAGGAGCGTTAGTAATTTTCTCCGGCTTCTAGCAACGTATAAATTCTATTTCCGACGAAAATCAACACGCGCGAGTCGTAAAGTAGACTAGAATCGCAACTGCATCAAGAACATTACCGTCAAAAGTACTGTACCATCATCAGAATTAAGCTCTAAATGACTTTGTAATTGAAATGCATCTAAAATATTAAATATGCATAGATCGAATGTTTACAAATATTACAGTTTCAAAACTTCTTTAATTTACTAATAAATTTTTGCCTACACAACTGTTATACTAAAGCTAGGTACATTAATTAATTAATGATCATTTATAAGCTTGTCAAAGAAAATCATAAAGCCAGATTTAGACGACTTTTTGAAATACTTTTTGCCCATCCCTGGCGCAAGAGTTCCAGGAACAGAATGCAGGTTCCCGTTGGCTCGCATAATTCATACGCCCAGTGCCCGGATGTATTTCTATTTTCCACGCGTACAAAGAAAATTCCGTTTCGGATTGACACTATTTTGAAACGCGCACGTGGTACCAACGGCCCTCTGTTCCTTTGTTGCATCTAACGAACCGCTTCCTCATTACGGGCACGCGTATAGAAGCCACTTAAATGGAACTTTCTATCACAAAGAAACCGTCACGGGAATTAAACGGTGTAGCGGGAAAACGGAAAAATAAGTTCGACAAAGACTTTACGCGGAAACGTTATAACGTACGCTTGGCCGACCATGAGTCGCCAGAGACGTCCGCGTCAAATCTACAGAAGACAAGAAACTAAGAAACTGTTAGGTACTTCCTAGTGCAACATCGGGACACTGAAAGGAATAATTTTAAATCGCATTTTTTCCCGAAAAAAATCACCCGAGCGTCGAGTACCGAGAAGGGCATGAGAAAATGGGAGTCGGGTGAAAAGTTTCAGAATTTATGAGCGATAGTGCGTAGAAGGGTTTCCTACGAGCCGTTTGCCATTGAATTAGAATGTTACGAGGTGCGCACGCGAACGTTCCAACGATAAAACACGGGTAAAGGGATTCACGGTTACGAAGTGCTAGCCGTTCCAGGAAAACTAAGTATAATGCTTCTGGGCTATGGCTTCGCGCGTAGTTTTCAGGTCAGGCGATAAATACATAAAAGTGCGACCAAGTGCCTCTCGGAGGGGACACCGAGCTCGTACACCGTTGCTTATTTTACTTTCATGCAACGGATGCAATTATGTATTCGAATCCCGAGTATAAGGTTCACAGTCCGATTCGTCGTTATCTCGACTATCGCACGATTGCCTTTATTTACCAGGGGACGATAAAATTCATTTAAAAATACGACGCTCGACCTTTAGCTCTCGAAACAATTCCTTTGCACAGATAAGGTTTTGGCTCGGTCTAGTTACACGGGGTGTTTCGAAAGGGACTCTATAAAGAGATCAGAAAATTATCATTTTACAATCTGAAGTTTTCGAAAAATAAACAGCTAAAGTTCAATGACGTCACTTCCGGCTCGCGCAATTTAAATCACGGGTCAGCTGATCGTCCGGTGTCACGTGCACGCACTCAAACACGTGTTAGTGACGTTTTCGCATACAAAAACTTTACCACTTGTTTTTATCTAGAAAACTGACAACACTTTATTGAGCGGTGAAAATAAATTTTTGTCGAACAGGATTTTAACCATTTGCATGTTAATTACGACGCACGAGATTACCAATTGAATCGAGCGCGAAAAGTTCCATGTATATGTGTGCAGTACCCCTCTAATACAGTAGAATCTCGATACATGATTAAATGCGAGCCTCGTTCGTTGCATTGTGTTCAGGAGTGGAGGAGATGGTTGCTTGGTAACGAATCAAGTTCGAGGTGGAGCGACCATACGTAATGGAGATATGCTGTGTAAGCGCGGCCTCCCAATTGAATTGGTTATTCCGATCATCGGTCGAGTCTCGATACTTGGAAGAATTTTCTGCCTCCTTGCAATTATCGAGCTTCTACTTTTGTATTGCACGCTCATCTAAATGTATGCCCTTAATTATTTCCTTAACTACCGCGAGCACAAGAAGATTATCCACGTAATGATCACTCGATTCGACGTACATTGTTATGGATTCAAGAAAATAACGTAACCTGATAGGGAAATGGAATTTTTTTTATCATTAATGCCAGGGATTACGCACATTTTCTACTTTGTAACGAAACCATAAATAAGTAAGTAACCGAGTAACTGTATAGCGTGTCCAAGTTAAGAATAGGTTCATAATTATTTTTCAAATTACTACTGGAACAAAGACAAAATAAAAATAATTAAAAATATTAATAATAGCCTATGAAGACGATAATCCGTTTTGTTTTCCAAGTACCACTTTGTATACCGTGTAAACTGTGTTCTATTCGCCGTAGAAAACAGAAAGGGGTTCTCACGTTGGTTGCTACGCCCCTTTCTCAATGCCCCCCACCTCTGTTAAAAGTGCGCCAGACGGGTTTCTTGCTCTGTCCGTTACGAACGGCGCTTTCAGCTTGCACGTCTGGCTGCGTGTGTCACACACATAGCGAGAGAGACACTTTGTTTCGACAAAGCCACTGGTCGCATGCTCTACATGCCGCATTATCAAACAGAGGTGTTATCTCGATCAGACCTTTTCCGATATATCGATCGGACAATATCTGAATTTTTAACGGTCGTTGGATTTTCGAGTAACAATGCACCGAACGTATTACACGATATTGCTGTACGCAATGCAACCGCTTAATATTGACCCACGCTCCAGTTTCGTACAGTTATCGCGTTCGGCCGAAAAAGTCTTCTGGAACGTCGATTTTGAACCGTAACGATGTATTATCCGTCAAGTTGATTTTAAAACCGTAACGTATACGCAAGGTCGATTCTGAACGGAAACGATACAGCAAGTTTGACGTTTCGCCGATAAAGAGGCTTTTCTCGCGATCGTAAAAAATGTTCCGCGCTACGAGAATACGGTGAACGTCATGTCGAACAGACGCCGAATATCGCAGTACGATGTATCGAAGCGCGTGATACTTTTTCGACGCGCCATGAACGAGCATTTGCGTGCGGTGCACAGATGGCACTGGCGCTCGTACCTTGATAATAAACGCGGCAACATGAATCGAAAACGCGTATTGTTCGTTGGATTGTGACCACGTATATCGACGCGCGGACGTGGGATCGTGACAGCGTGATCGTACATCAGGAAGCAGATGTGCTTTGATCATAATCGCTCGTCAATAACAGTGTACGACCACGTTAAGGAGAATGATAATGCTATAACGTATGCACCAATTAAACGAGTTGTTTATCAATGACAATCTTGAAACCTTGGACAGTGCTTAAGTAAATTTTACACGTTATAAC